TTTGATATCTGCTTCACCTCTGTCCAGAAGAGAGCAATTCGTAACCTTTGGACAGTACTACATGCCATTGACCAGATGTGGTTGCCTGAAATGAGGCCTTGGCTCCTCAATGAGCGGCACTATAGAGGTCTGACTGGTCTCAACAAAGCAGAGACAGCTGCTAAGCATGGTGAGGCCCAGGTGAAGATCTGGGGATGATCCCACGACATCCCACCACCTCCAATGGAGCCTGACCACCCCTTCTACAGCAACATCAGCAAGGACCGTCACTATGCAAATCTGACTGAGGATCAGCTGCCCTCCTGTGAGAGCCCGAAAGACACCTGCCTGGGCTCTACCCTTCTGGAATGAGGAAATTGTCCCCCAGATCAAGGAAGGAAAGAAAACATGTTCTGATTGCAGCCCATGGCAATAGTCCTGGAGGGATTGTCAAACATCTTGAGGGTCTGTCTGAAGAAGCAATCATGGAGCTGAATCTGCCCACTGGCATTCCCATCATGTTATGAGTTGGATGAGATTCTGAAACCCATCAAGCCCATGCAGTTCCTCTGGGATAAAGAGACAGTGAGCAAAGCCATGGAGGCTGTGGCAGGCCAAGGCAAGGCCAAGAAGTGAAAGCAGGCTGCCAGCACCAGCCGGCAGTAGCCAGGTCCTTCCCTTCTCGCTGTCTCCACCACATCTTTCCCACCTGCTCCACACACTGACCATTGCCTTAGGGATCACAACACACAGCTGCAGGTGGGGGACTGATGGTTCTTTTCTCATTTCTTCCTCCCTATTTCAGACCAATTCTTTTCTGTCCTGTTGCCCTTCCCCTCAACCGCGTTAGTCAGAATGCCTCCTGGGAGGTTTTGCTCAGTAAGGACCTGGTTAAGGATTAGGGACCGGGACACAGTATGAACTAATCCATGTGGGGAGTTGAAAGAAGCAGTCGGTCCAGTTAATCCTATGAGCCAGTCCTGCCAGTAGGGCAGCCCTCTCAGGGGCCGTTGTAGGAAGCTACCTATAACCCAGGTGGTCATTTAACGAATCATGAAAGTTTTATTTGAAGGTTTCCTCCCTAATCCAAGAAAAATGGATCTGGGAGGTCGTCCTAATGTTTACTTGTTGCATTTGCTTTCACAAAAGACCCTTCTAGGCTGGTTATTAGTGGCTTTTGAAATTAAACTGTCCTGCTTGGTAGTCATGAGAGATCTCAAGCCAAGTCAGAGTAGGGAGAGTTCCTTGATTTCTAAGGAGTGCACAAGTACATCCCACTGTGTGTTCGATAGCCCCTGCTCTGTTCTGTAGCAGTGAAATGCCCCTAGATAATGTTGAAATGTGTCTCAAAGTCCCATTGCCTTCCGCCTTAGGTCCAGCCATCTGGGTCCTCAGCAGTTTTAGCATAACTGTACTAACCCGGCCCCTCCCCCTGCCTCTTTTTTGTTGTTCACTATAATAAAAGAGTGATGTGCAATTAAAAAAAATTGTCTTTGCATGTATTTGATAAAAAATAAAATGCTATCTTTAAAAAGTGAGTTGTCTGTTCATGTCCTTGGGTCATTTACACTGGGAAACTAGATCTTGCATTTGATTTTAGGTGCCAAGTTTTTTACCTGTCGTATTTGTCATAAATGTTTCCAAACCTGGTTTTATTTTTACTTTAATTACATTGTTTTGTTGTACGTGTTTTTTTTAATTTTTATGTAATAGAAAATATCTGGTTTCCAATAATCTCTTCTATTTAACACATTAAAAGTTGCCTGGCACATTGTTGCTGTTATTGTTCAGCCGTGTCTGACTCTTTGTGACCCCATTTGGTATCGTATTGGCAAAGGTACTGGAGTGGTTTGCCATTTTCTTCTCCAGCTCCTTTTACAAATGAGGAAACTGAGGCAAACAGGGTTAAGTGACTTGCCCAGGCTAATAAGTATCTGAGGCCAGATTGGAACTCAGGAAGATGAGTCTTCCTGACTACAGGCCTGGCACTCTATCCACCGTGTCACCTAAACTGCCCCAGCACATAGTAGGAACTTAATAAATTCTTAATCAGGGATAGGGACTACAGACAGACAATTAGTTGGAGGCCGCAATTGAATAGTCAACAAGTAATTATTACGTGTTTTTATGTATTAGACAAAGTTCTGGAAATATAAAGGTAAAAAACATGGTCCCTGACCTCAAGGAGCTCACATTCCAATGGAAGAGATAACATGTATTGGCTTAAGGAGGGAATAACATACACACTCAATTGGATATGGAAATCTATCTTACCCCACAGGAAAATAAGGGGGGAAGGGGCCATGATAGAGGGGGATGATAGAGGGGAGGACAGAATGGGGGAGGGGGTAATCAGAAGCAAACACTTCTAAGGAGGGACAGGGTCAAAAGAGAGAATAGAAAAAATGGGGGGCAAGATTGGATGAAGGGAAATATACTTAGTTTTCCATAGCCTGACTACTATGGAAGTGTTTTGCATGACTATACATGTATAACCTGTATCGAGTTGCTTGCCTTTTCAATGAGGGTGGGTGGGGAGGGAGGAAGGGAGAAAATTTGTAAACCAAAGTTTTAAAAACACATGTTAAAAAAAATTGTTTTCACATGCAACTGGGAAATAAAAAATACAGGAAATGGGATATAGAAATCTATCCTGCCCTA